TGACATTCCCCATAGTCAGTCAGTAAGCACCTACTATGTGTCAGGCACTGTGCTAAGCCCTAGGGATACTTTAAAAAAAAAAAAAAAGCAAAAAAGCAAAAACTCTCCCTGCCTTCAAAGAGCTTATAGGCTAATGGATCAATAAGCAAACCGATACGACAAACATGCTATATACAGGATAAATAGGAAATAAATGAACAGGAGGAAAACACTAGACTTAAGAGGGATTGGGAAAGGTGGGAAGAAGGTGGGATTTTAGTCAGGGCTTGAAGAGACAGCCAGAGAAAATACTCAGAGTCAGGAGATGCAGTGGCAGACCTGACCTCAGAACCAGAGTGAGTCAGAGGCCAGACCTGACCTCAGATCTCCCTGATTCGAGGCCAGCTCCCCTGGTTCCCTCTACCACACCACCTTCTTCTCCTCATCGTTATTTATCAAGACTCCGCTGAACACACCAGCCCGGGGCTGGGCACGGCCCAAGGCAGGCCCATGCTTTCTCATCAGCTAACTCGGTGAGAAAGGTGGCCTAGTTCTCCTGGCCAACCAAACTGGTTACCCAGTGAGTGTTGGCACCGGTCATGTCTGAGCAAACATCAAGCCCGTCAGAGCAAATCCTCTGATTAGCCTTGAGATCCATCCCCACCTATGAGTTATGTCTGGGCGCCTCCGTACATATTTATTCACATTTCAGAGGAATCCTCCCTGGTGTGGACTACAGGTGCTTTTGCAAACATGAGCAGCAAAATAAAGAGCAGGTTGTTTCTGAAGATTGTCTCAAGCTCTCCAGAAAGTGACTGACCCGGTCAGTGCTTAGGGAAGTGGGGGAGAGAAAGAGGGGCTGAGGTCCTCCTGGCTGCCTTCTCCAAGGCCATCTGTGTGTCAGCAGGCGAACAAGGGCTTTCTCTGGTGAGAGAGTGAATGGATGCCAAGGAGAACAGACAGAGAGAGAGAGACAGAGAATGAGATAGAGAGAGAAGGAGAGAGAGGAGAGGGGAGGGAGGAAGGGAGAGAAAAAGG